TCATATTATATTTTTCACTGTGAGCCTGGAAAATAAATAGTACAATTTTGTTACAAGCCTGTTGTCATATTTAAATGCAACTGCAAAATGCAAATTTTGACGAAACACTGGAATAAAAACAGAAAAACAGAACAACTATCTTGTAACTAAAAATTCAAAAATGCAATGGAAACCTCTACTGCTGCAGGGCTGCAGGTTGCTCAATTAATAATACGTGGCGAAAGATGAGAATTAAGTAAGCAGTGGTTATATATATATATATACATAGGCAAGTAAAAATATGAATAGCTCAGAAAGAGTTATGGCCATCATTTCGTCGAGCATAAATAAAGAGTAAAAAAAATGACGTTGGCCACGTCGTTTGTAAACCCGTACAAACAACATCGGTACACTATTAAAAGGAGAAACTTTACCAAGTCCGAGTATATTATCATTTATCTTACATATCGCATATCCCATATAATATGCAAACACACGTGTGCGTATGAATCTATACATCCGACTATTGAGAACTATACATCGGTGATTGAAATACGACCAAAGTGTCGATTATCGATTGAGTAGACCACAAAATCGATCGCAGACGACGTTCGCTTCTACAACACAACAAAATCTATTATATGAAATCGCTTATCATGCCGGAAATCCGATTATATTATAATATGTTATAGGTACCTACTATTGTACATTAATTATTATTATAGTCATATCGGTATTTTTATTTTTATTTTTTTATTGAGCAATAGCTTCGGTGACATTTTTATTCTTTACTGTTTATTTATTTATTTATAATATTTAATATTTAAAAACAAAGTAACAGGGTTAAAATATTTTTTTTTACAGTTCACGTTTATCTTTTTGTAATTTAATTTTTATATGGTAGTTAAAAAATAGTTATTTAAATTAAACAGAAACACAGTACACTTATTACATATTTTACTATACGTCTGTAGACTATAGGTATAAGACATTTTGAATATTGTAAAAAAGAAGTAAACAGAAGGGACACAGCAACTCATAGCTTCTTATACTGAACTAATATCCAAACTGAATGTATATATTATTATAAAGATTTATAACTTTGACTCTATGTGTTGGAGGTCACAAAGAAATTTCCAAATTTTTATATTTATAGTTAGCCCCGACTTGCATTTATAAGAGGAAAATGGGTCCAATTGTCTTAGGAGCCAAATTCTAGAGAGATATTATTATATAGAAAATATTTAAGATATTTTATTGTATAACATATTTATTCATCGTTATACCTAGTTAATTCATAAAATATGTTTGTATTTATACATAAATGGATCTTTTTATAAGTAAAAATGAACCGTGATATTTTAGCATACGCCTATAATGATGTCTGGATAGTCAAAAATTCATACTTATGCATTATACTGAAGTCTAGTTTTTTAAATTACTTAAAGGAAATAAGTAAAACTATGCTAGCAAAGACCAAAGTTGTAAGTTAAGCAATTTATTCTATATACAAAAACAAACTTTATAAAGCATGTGTCAAAATAGCCAGTCTTTATTTCTTCTATCATTTTTCAAAGTGAACAATAAAATATCCCAATTAGTCAATAGGTACTATTCACTTTTTTTTATATAGTTTACAACTATACATTTATGGATTACAATTATATTAATGCCTCGACACAAATTGATATTTTTTTTTTTTTGGATTGTAAAATATTTGTAAAGTATAACATTTTAAATTTCAACTAGTGGTTTTCAATCTCTAACTTAGGTAATTATTTTAATTAAAATTGTTTTAAGTTTTTTCAAACAGTTATTGTGAACATTTATCCACTAGACTCTTTTAATGAGGGAAAGAATAATTATAAAAAAAAACACATTTTAAAAATAACCGCTGACTCAAAGGTGGGGGGGGGGGGGTCGTAAAATTCTCACATAAGCCAAATACACCCATGGAAGTGCGGAAATTTGAATTTGTACTGGTGCGAAAATCTTAAATAAGATCCCGAGGTGTACCTAGTATGTTAATTACATTACCATAATATTAAACTGCTTAATACCACCTGTGATTCGGTTCATAAACTTCAAACAAATAATAATAAATTATAACAAACTTATTACACATAAATTATTAATTTAAAGTCTATGAAATCATTATTGAATGAGCATTTGATATAGCTGATAAAAATGTTTAACAAAATACGTTTATATAAAATATCGGTTCATCGTTTCTTATGTTATAATAAATGTTTGTCTCTACAGAGTTTATCATTGAAATTTCAAACTGCACTTATAATCATATAACAATGACCGTTATTGTATATTATTGTTATAGTCACTGATGGAATATTATTATATATTATATTGTTCGTGTATTATATTATTAATAAATCATTATGACATCTGGGCGAACAACTGTTTTTTGGGATTGTTTACTTATTTTTTTTTTTTTTTTTGTTTAATCCGCATTATAATATCAAGTGATCCGAAAGACCAATACCACTGTTCACCTTAAACACGAATCATTTGGTATGACAAACCGACATTTAAATTTTATAAATTAAACCTGTTGTAATTTTGACGGGCTTATATGAATTAAATAATTCATGGTTATATCAAGTTCCACCTACATATTATATTATAATACCTATATGGCTATAATAATATACTATTTGGTACGTACGACATAATTATATAAATACAATACACTAGGTATTGAATATTATGGGCATTCTAATTTCTTGCACTTCATCTAATTATTGAAAAATATCTTTAGGTACCATATATTATAATGACGAAGAAGAATATACATTAATATTAAACATAATATTACATTTACATAAATATTTAAGTATTTAAATATTTGTTAAGTTTAAGATAAAAAATATCATTAATAATAATTATTGATCCCTTTTTTTATTTTTAAACGTAGGTACTAATCGCAGTTATTCTCGTGATGCATGTTTAATAAATAAATTAAAATTATATACAACTAATAACAATTATTTTATTTTTTAAGTAGGTACCTGTAGTGATGAGCTGACAATAAAATACACAAGTTGTTAATAATTAATAACTAACCACAAAACCGACAAGGTGATGTGTTTTAAAATTCAGTGATTGGTGTATAGACCACAATATGGGGAAGTTGAAGATAATAATATATTATAATTTTACATGTGAACAACACTATATATATAGAAGTTAAATTCTAAAATAAATACATTTTTAATTATTAAGTAAATAACAATCTTTTGTAGGCAAACAAATAATGGTTGTAAATATTATTTAAAAAAAACGTCTGACCACATAGAGAAGACATTTTCCCTAGAATTTCTATATCTTAATAATATACGGCTTAAAGAACTGCTTTTAAATGGATCAGCTGTTTGCGATAAAAATGGCGTTTCATTGATCGCTATGGCAGAAAACAGAATGTTAATAAACAGTGAAATAATATCTATGTTAAAAAAGAACGAGTGGTCATAAATCATAATATTTCAATTATTGCATTCGAAAAAAAAATATAAATGGTTATAATATATCAAACACATTTTGCACATTACTGGTATCAGGAATTAGGGTATGTAAATTTCATTTTTTTTTTAAACTTTTTGACTGAACACGAAAAAAAAATGCTGATCATACAATGGAACATTATATTGATATCGATAATAAGCTAATACATAATTTAATATATTTATTGATGTTCACTATTCAACATTTTTTTGTTTCTTTTTTTACATCTGAGTGCTTTGTGGTGTCCTTAAAATTTAATACTACACAAATATGTACTCATATTTTATTTCCATTTATTTATGAATGCATTTTTTTAATAATTGGTTATATTGTTCTGTTTGAGTTATTCAGTTTTGCTGCTGTAATGAACGATACAACTAAATATTATTAATTCATTATAGTATCGATTAAAAAATTAATTTTTTTCCCTTAGATTTTTGCAAAACAGCTTGCATAGATCTTTGTACAGCTAAAGATTTTGTAGCACATTTTGAAAATGGAAACGGAAATAGAAGAAGGTAAGAGAAATCGTATCGATGTTCGGTTATGTCAATATCAGAATACCGTAGTGTAGTTTTGTCATATTCGAATATTCTTTACACGAAAACATCCAATGTGTAACTTCTTCAACTTAACGTTGTATCTGAATTATTGACATCATGAACACGATTAATCCAATGTAAAATACACCTATATAATTTGCCGAGTTTCCTCAGTTGGTTTTAATTAAAATGCCAATAATCGTGCGAAAATAAATTTTATAATATTCTTTTGTCATCTCTTGGCCTCATTTCAATTGCATATTGTTTTATGCTTAACAACACACTCCACTAAGGAGTATGAGGGAACTCTCTTCATCGTTTAATTATTTACTTAACCTGTATTATATAGATTGATCCTCTCCACTCATCCTCCATCAAATATTATTTTCATATTGTTCGTGTGTGTTATGTTTATATGCATATAAGCTTAAGCAAAATATTATTATGTTTTAAATTACTATACATATATTATAGATTCAGATATCAAATTAATTATATTTATGTTAATTTATCAATAATAATAAATACATTTTTAATAGCGTGTTATGACTTGGTCTTTGCTATTCCACATTCGCACAGACATCAAAATTTTGAATTAAATATCACACGAAATCAGGACTAAGTCCTGGATTTATCGACATCAGCTGAACTTTTTAAATCCAAGCTTATATTTAATATTTGTTGGTGTAATCTAATCTCGATGCTTTGTTATTGAGGTGGCCGTTTTAATATTGTTATACGTAAGGATACTACACTGAATTAAGTTACTTTTATAACTGTTTGGCTTTTAATACATTAATTAAACATTTCATTCACTCCGACATGAACATCTATGTCAAATTTGTATTAATCACTACATCTGTAAATATTATGTGCCAGTAATGTTTATTTATTTGAAAAATAAATAAAACTGTTCATAATAAAATTATGTCCATCATTTTACTATATTTATTGATGTAATCGTATTATTTTTTAGCTGACATTAAGAGCTACTTGAACTTCATCAGAGGTATTGGAATTAAAGCATGGATTCCCGGGTCACTGGGAAGTGGCCCTAAGATGTCTTTAATAGACCAGTGTCGATCCGGGGTATTCTGTTTAAATTATAATGGATTGGACATCTATAGTACAGATATTATTTTTATTTTTCATAGACGATATCACGTTTGTATTTTTTTTAATAAGTCTGTTTTAGTTCAGGGCATTAGTCGTGGTGGAAAAAACGAAAAGAGTTCAAAGGGATTCGTTAAGAATCTAGACCACGTAAAGCCTGTTCAATTAAAAAATGATGAGGTAAGTCGAAACTAAATGAATGAAATCAATAGGTAGATGTGTCTATACAAGTTTATTCAAAAACACTATATTATGTGGCAGTTGGATCGATTTGATGGTGGTCCCGGTAACACTGCACTAAATGACAATTTGGGTGTAAATAATATAACGTCACGTGTCGCTGCAGTAAAGTTAAAACGTGATGTCGGTATTCAGTGGAGCGATAGTGATATTGTTGATGATTCACTTGAAATCCCAAAATGTCCAAAAACCACTACTAGCCGTTTGGAAAAATCAGTCGGAACAAGAGTTGGTGGTATTGAACAAGTGAGGGAACAAAACATGACAATTAAATGTTTCAAATTGCACCTAATGATATACAATAATATAACTAATGATATCAGATAATATAACAATACAATTATTAATATTATACTTTTACAGAAAACGTTCTTTCCGGGAATAACGGGTATGGAGTTCAAACGTATCGTAAATGAAAAACTCACGAGGGAAGTTAGAGTAGCTAAATGTTACGTATCATCGTTACCCAATTACGCGGTTAACTGCGCCAGCGCAAAAAACTGTCATCTCGATAAGAAAGCATTGAGATCAGATTACACGGGGATACTATGGAGTAGTCTGGACTGCAAGAGTTTGGCCGAAATCAAAAAATCCGGACTTAGTCCTGGTTTTGTGCGAACATTAATCAAGCAGTTTGATGTCTATGATAATGTGGAACAGCAATGTCCGAGTCGGAAAACGTTATAGATACATACAGTATAAATGTATGAAACGATATTAATTATAATCCTAATAAATATATTAATTGTAATATAGTAACCTAATATTGTCACTGATCAGTGTACGTTTAAATTTTTAAAAAATAAATTTTTCTTTTCCCGGTCACTGTTGTTTTCGTACCATTATTATACGAGCTTTCGACCGGTTTGATCAGTCTATAATCCGGTCATGCGTATGGATATAATGTCTTTATAAATTATAATAAACGACCCAAAATGGGAAGCAACGCTGTTCGTTTATTTATATTCTACTGCGCCACCTTACGCGCGTACATATCAATTACGCGTACGATTATTATATCGTATATTATATTAGTGTTATGAAATCAAGTATTCGCGACCGCCATTACGTACCGAAAAAATTAAAATTAGTCACTACTCAATCATAATAGTTTGGAATATCATTAAATGTTAACCGGTAGATTTAAATGCAAATGGTATTGTAAGATTAATTTGTATTTGTAGTGTAAATATTCGTATAATCTAAAACCCGTATGAATGTAAAATAAACTTGGATACCATATAGTATTAGTATCTCCTATAGGTAACCGACTGCACCAAATGCTAATCCAAGAATAAAAAAGAATAAAAAGCGAGCTTTTCTAATGCACATATAATAACATTGAATCGTACGGATTACATGTTTTCAAAACTTGTATTATGTATTAATAAAAAATGTATCAACGAGTTTACTATGGCCCAAAAACACATAATAGGTGGTAAATTATGTTGAAAAAATGGATTTTGTTTATTTTAAGCACAAAATATTTTCGATTTTGAAGTGAATTGACGGTGGAATGCATATTTCACGTTCTTTAGTACATATTTACAGAGCCAGTATAAGTCTGAAGCCCTAACAATAATTTAAACATACGATAAAATCCGGTATACCGATATAATAACATAATGGTTCACATTAATCTTGGCGTACCTATATACACATAATATTATAATATATCGTGAGCGTACGCGCGACATGGACAAGTCGGCATTGATAATCGTACATAATATATAATTATATGATATAATATTATAATTGTATATACGATTTGATTTACGACGTTCATATTTCCATTAAGCGAACGAGGATTTTATGTTTTAGAGAGGAGACGATCGTGGTGTGTCGCGGCATGTCCACATAAATCACTGGGATTTTTTTATTTTTTTTTTGTCGCATTTAATCCCCCGCAACGCGCTGCGAAACGTGTAATCGGCCGACGATTTTTTCACTTTATTTCGTTACACGCGTGATATAATAAGCTAAAAAAAAAAACGGTTAAAATTACGCGAGTAAAGTGGCATTTATTACCGTCGTCGCCGACGTCCTTCGGTGCAAAAAAAAAAAAAAATATATATAAATTAATAATATTCCCGACTTCCTCTATATTATACTACCTATATGCGAATATTATAATAATAATAAGTAGTGCGCGGTAACCAAACCGACGGGCTGCAGCGACGAGAAGAATATAATATCATCGACGCGGCGTTTTAATTACGCCGTTGCGATTTATAATTACTATGCGCGCCAGCACTGTTTTATTAGGTTTTTTAATTCATCCCTAATGGGAAACGCGAGACGTGTCTCGGGCGCGCACACGATTTATGGGTTCGTTTTTATTATCATATAATAATGCATGTATAGTGTGCACAACACACACTCACACACAAACATATCGTATATAATATGCGAAAACCGGCACAGGCACCCATAATTGGATGTGAGTGGATAAGAAGAGAGAAAAAACTGCGTGAGGAGCGCATACGGGTATTATATTTATATATACATATGTGTGTGCAACGTATAGTCGCTTTGGCGAATTTGCATTTTAAATAAGCTCTAAAGCGTATTTTTCACTGTTATCGCGTTAGCGAACGGTTCATTGGCCGCAAATTAAAACGAAAACAAACGAAAATATTGAAGAACAACCGCGATATTATTATGTAACGTGACGCTTGATTAGTTCGTACTTTCGTAGTTCGTAAATTCGAGAACCGTTGATTTAAAAATGACGTGTCTTGTAAGAGATGAAACTTGTATTGCCGAACAATCGATAATCCTATTTGTACGTAGTTCCTCATACCTACCTAACCCGACCACACATCAAACAGCCCACAAAAGCGTTCACATTCAGCATATTAATTGTAATAGTATAATAATTACCAATAAGGAATAGGTAGACACCCTCCACAATATAATATGTGATACCATGGTTGATAATATTTAGAAATAATCAGACTCGTATTCAAGAGTTTATTTGTGGGAGGGTTAATTTTAAGTTTAAATAATATAACGAGTGGGGGCTTTACACACCCTCGCGCATTGTATTCGTCAATCGTCGTACTATTTATAATATCAAATATGAAATAGAACCTGCAATACGACGACATATTTTTTAGAAATCCGAATCATTTATTAAGTGCATATGTTTTTTTCAAAAATAAAACCGATGTTTTAGCACCCAAAACTTCCCAATGTCAATGGCACTGGACCTCTTCGATTATTCTGTTGTAGATACCATATTGTTTTTGTTACATTCCGCAGATTCAAACAATGTTGTTGTTGTGATATAAATTAGTTTATTAATAAAGCTAATTAGCTTCGCCGTCACAAATGCATAAATAACTTGTAGTGAAACAAATATAACGATATCATTCTAGTAACATACATCCACTAGGTAGGTAGATATAGGTAGACTGTTTTATAAGATTTCTGGGCAGCAATATTGTAGCTCTAAATAAACTGAAACTATTGTAGATTTAAAAGTTACAGCCTCGGAGCCTCGCTATAAATGAGCGCCAACCTTATCCAACCTAACACATTGTATAGCCACACATAGGAGATACAGCTAAGTTTTATTTATCGCGGTAGGTCAGTGCCCTGTCGAATAGCAGGACCGAAAAGGGTTGTAGACTTTTTTTGGGGTGTACCAATATATAATATAATGTTTGTTTGCATGACGAACCGCTACCGGATTATTAGTCAAACATACTCGCACACCTAATATACCTAATATTATCACAGCTCCCTGATGTGTGTTTCGTCTTTCGTGTGTTGACTGTGAGTAAATTTACACAGGAAATAGGTCACATATATACTGGAATCATCGTCTGCGCTATAATGGCGGCAGAGGTTCAAATATGAATATCATACTAAGTGAGTGCCGTAGAAACGATTTTCTGGCATAGAATAATACATATTTTTGTACGCATATAACTCTCAACTAATATTATAACTTATAAGCCTTCGTGATTGCGCACCCAAATATCCCCGATATATTAGCAAGAAATATTATTGCCTCGAATGTGTACAGGCAAAATAGATATTACAGAGTTTGGAATCACATATTATAAGAATACATGTAAATCGAAATAACATTAAATCTCTCTTTGAAAACAAAATAACTAACGAGCAGAGATTTGCAATACTGTCCAAATTCGACAAAAATGATTGACGTAATCAATTTGACGAAACAAATAAAAGATGCCAAAAAAATCGAGTACAGTAATCATACTAATATGTTACTATTGTTAGTGATGGTGAACAATACTGATAAAAAAATTTCATCGAGGGTAAATCGAAATAATTAGTTTAGCTTTCGTGTATCTATTGTAGTATGTATACAATTTACATATTGAAAGATGAACAAAATTCGAACGAAATCACGATATTAGAAATGATGTCGTTGGTCATCACCGACACACGGCTATTATTATACTATTTAACTATTATAATATTATATTATTATACTAACCTACAGTCGAACAATCGAATCACAACGTATCCATCCGGTTTTCGACCGTCGTCGTCGTTGTCGTTTGCGCGTGACGATAATAATTAAGTGTCTCTCTTTTTTTTCTGTTGCCAATAATGCTTATTATATATGTACGCAATATACACACAACAGTCGTCTCTGGACTATCGTGGTTCCATTTATTATATTGGCACGGTCGTGCACGATCCGCTGCTATTTACTCTCTCTCACACACGCGCGCGCGCTCACACTCACACACACACACACACACACACACACACACACACACACATACACACACACACACACACACACACACACATGCTCGGCTGTATGCGATCGCGGCTCGCGCTCGAGTATGTGTGGAAAACATAAAAATAAAATCGTCTCCTCGTCATCTGCCCGGGCCGGCGGCGGCGGCGGCCGCGTGTTGAGTGGTAAACGATGTTTCTCTCGCCGAGATTTTTATCGTGTCGGACACGTTTTTCTGCGTTGAGCACTTTACCCGTAGGTACATTTTATACTAGTTATAGTAATAATAATAATAATAATAATAATACTGTGCACGTTATCATCTGCCGCCCCGGCGACGACGGTTACAGAAATGCGTATTTCACGCTTGCGTATATTACAATAATACTATGTATGAGTAAGTACCTTCAAGTGCGAGATCGATTTTATTAACTCGTATGTTTTTTTTTATCGATCTCTTTTATTGATCCCGGAAAATAACACACTGAGTGCTCCATATTATGTTATTATCACGCTTCATACTTCTAACTAATGAATATCATATCTCACGATTTTAGATTGATTTAAACTGTTGCTTCCAAATTCAAACTATGACCGTAAAGCGAGTATTTCAATTTATATGCCATGCAAAGTCTTAGATATCAATTGGTGTACATATTATAATAGTTATAAAAGTGCCTACATGCAATGTTTTGAAATAAACGGAAAAAAAAAAATTTCATTGTGTTCAGATTTACTCGAATTGCAAGGGGACTCAAATATTTTTATACATTAAAATTCACATAATCCATACCCCTCGGCCCCCTTACATTTTATTCAATATATGTTTGTTCCCCAATCATAAATATTGGTTACAAGCAGCAATGTTTGGCTAAATACCTTTTTTTGAAAGGTTTGATGTTCATAAATTCGTAATCCTTAATCTTCGTGGTATACCTACTGCGGTTAACATGCACGACAGCATATACAATACGCGAATACGTGATATGGTACTGAACATAAACGTATTATCTTGACATTAGTT